GAATGACAGCAGAAGGGCCATGAGGCTCGTGGAATGCGACGCTCCCCTGGGCTGAGGCTGCACTCACATTTTTCTAGGTGCGCATAGTGGAAACAGAATGAAAATATTATTACAAGGCTAAGTTCTGTTTTACAGCCGCCGTTAATATATAACAGTCTTGTTTTAGTTTCATCTAAACACTTTCCCTTCGCTCCAGGCAGCTGCTGGTCTTTCTGCTCAAGGCCCTGGAGCTGGACACAGGCACATGTTGGCGGTGCTCAGGGGTCATTCATTCAGCTAGGAGAGGAGCCACAAGCAGACATGGGGTCCCCTGGCCAGTGTTGCCCCCAAAATGCTTCAGAGACCCCTGCTTTCTCCTGGAGGTGGGGAGGGAGTGGTGCTTGGCTGAGCAAGTTCTGTCCGTGGGGGGAGAGGGGTGCATTGTTTCCTTCAGTGTTCATGGTCCCTGTGTTTTCTGAGGTGCTAGGTAGCCTACAGATTCTCAAGATGTGTATGGTCAGCTCCCCTGGACAGAACAGAGACGATGGGGTCCAGTAGTCACCCTGGCATAGCTGTGGTGGGTACTCTGGCCTGACCTCCACCCCAGCCGGCCGGGCTAAGGGCGCACAGGGAACTTCCTGGCCCACAGCCCTACTGGGGCTCCTCAGGCACTCACAGCCCAGCCATCAGAGCCTGTGGCTCTCTTCCCAAGTCACTGAGACCATCTGGCCATGAAAAATGACCCTTTCGAGCAGAAAAGGCCCTTGACCCCCTGCACCACCCTGGGAGCCCAGCTTCCTACCGCTCAGTCCAAATCCTTCTCTTCAGTAGGCGTGGTGCCACTGTCTGCCCTCTCTCCGCATCACCAAGAGGAGCAGAGAGCTCCCGGCTGGCAGATCGGTCTCCAGGGAAGAGTCATGATGTTCCTCACACCAAGACCCGGCAGCAACGACACCATGAACGCTACAGGACTAGGAATAACATCTGTAGAACCTGTCCTTGTCCCCGTGCACGGGGGCTGAGTGAGGCACAGGGGCTCCCTGGCTATAGGAGGACAGGCTGGAGCCCGTGGTCACCTGGCCCCAGGGCTGGTCCTGGCAGAGCAAGGACTGCCCTTCTCACAGCCGCCAGGTCAGGAAAGCCAGGTCACCACATTCCTCCACAAGCAATCCTAGGGGCCATCAGGTCTTGGCTTTATGGATTCTAAATTCTATCTTTTTTCTGTTGACACTTCTTTCATGTTTTTTTTTTTTAAACATGTTCCTCCTGCTTCCTTGGGCTTCAGGCTTTATCTCATTTTTCTTCTCTACAGTCTGGTAGTGAAGGCTTAGGTCATGCACTATTTATTCTCTCTTGTACATAATGAAAACATCTGAGATGTAAGTCTCCTCCGCCTGCCTTCTAGAAGGTTCACTGGATCGCCTCTTCTGCACTAGTGTTTTCTACACGGGCTGTTGTGTGCTGCTACCTCCTGTTGGCCGGTCACTTGGAGGGATCTGTTTCTCTCCCAGGTTGTCGCTGGGCTCAGTGGACCGAGGACCACTTCCAGCTCTAGGTGGTGCAGCGGGGCCGTCAGTGGCAGTGTTCAGTGTCTGTCCGGGAACGTGGCTCCTGCGAGCAGGTGCTGTCCCATGAACGGCCTTCACAGGGGACAGCAAAGGACAGTATGTGTCATGTCAGGGTGGAAACCTACCTGGAGGCCTGACTGTTTCTTCCAGAAAGTTCTCATTTCTCAATCCTTCTGGCCTTACTTGCTGATGGACCTCTGCTGACCTCAGAATGGAGAATGACTGTTCCTCCGTCTTCTCAAAGGGAACCAGAGGGGTGTGTATCCATCACCACGTGCTAGACTGTGCTGCCACAACGAACATTCCCACACGGCCGATGCTGCCTCTTGCTCACGCAACAGGCCCACTGTGAGCTGCCGGGGGCCCTGCTCCGAGTGGTCCTCACGCCAGGACCCACGTAGGCTACTGTCTGAAGCGCGGCCGGTCACCACTCGAGCACAGGGCATCATGTGCTGACTCTGGAAGCTTCCCTAAACTGTCACACGTCACGTACGTGTACTTTTCTGGACAGATCAAGTACACAGCGGTGCCTGACTCCAAATGGAGGAAAGGGTCCAGGCCTGCACGAGCCCAGGAATGCCAAGCCAATCGGCACATGGAAAATTAATCACAACATTTGCCCCCCACCTTGGGAAGGAAAAATAATAACAGAACACAAGACTTTTTCAACAGGAAGCAAGATAGAATTAGATCAAATTCAATGTCTCTCCTTTTTCAATCCTCACCTGAGGACATGTTTATTAATTTTAGAGAGGGGGATGTGGAGAGAAACATCAATGTGAGAAAGAAACATCAATTGGTTGCCTTCCCGTATGCACCCTGACCAGGACTGAACCTGCAACCTAGGCATGTGCCCTGACCGGAAATCAAACCTGCAATCTTTCAGTGCGTGGGACGATGCTCAACCAACTGAGCCACACAGGCCAGGGCTCACTGTTTCTTCTAAATAAAAGTGCTCTACATTTAGGAATGATTCCTATTCTGACAGAGGACCCACTGAGACACAAATGCCTTCCTGATACCTGATTGGATTGGCCCCTGACAGCACACACACTCACATGCATAGATGTTAAGTACACATGCACATAAAACACGTATGCACATACACGAGCTTACACAACCGCACGCACGGGCACCCACGTGGGCATGCACACACACATGCACACACACACCACGGCCCCCTCATCTAAGCCAGGGGTGTGAGTGCAGGAGCAGGAGGAATCAGCTACGTGGCCTCCTTGGGGAACCTGAGCCCCCAGGGCAGCCGTCAGCCCAGCCTCACAGAAGCCACCCTTTCCAGGGTGCTGTCCTCCCTCTCTCCCTCCCCTCCATCTTCTCCCTCAATTTAACCCCAGTACCAGTCTCTTCAATCATTCATGTTTGGGATTCGGGCCACCCAGGATCCCCACTGGGCCACCCAGGATCCCCACTGGGCTGGTGTAAGGATGTGGGGTTGCCCTGGGTACCAGGAGAGTGGGGACATGGCGCTGGATAAGGCAGGGTGTCCAGTATCACTCACCCAAGTCTTGCATCCAACATTGGGGTTATTTTTTCTCATCTACACAAACCAAGGACCCAAGGCCCAAGTGATTGGCCAGGCCCCCCCAGATGGGCATGAGGTGGACCCGTTTCTCTGGCCGAGTTGTCCTCATCCAGTGCAGAGGGCGACCTGACTTCAGAGCAAACCCAGACACCCCCTACAGGTGCAACAAGGCGCTGCTTTTAAATGGAAACACCCCAGAATAGGACAAAAACATCATTCCTAACTGTCCGGTACAGCTATTAAGAAGAGAAGTTTGCATTTTATTTTGTAGGCTTGACATTTCGGTACCATGTAACATTTTCCATAATTATAGAACAAAGTTAAACGTGAGAAGCAAGCCCTAAAAATCAAATGAGACAAGTGAAGCCGCTGTGTGTCCCACTGATGGCAGTCAGAATCAGGTGCTCCGCAGACCTGAACGTGAGGTGACGCCAACCGCCAAGAAAACGGGACAGTCAACGAGACGCGGAGGCAGGAAGACCGAGGGGACACGTAACATTAAGACACTGTCGCTCACTTTGTTCGGTCTGACTCTGGTCTGTGCTCACTCAGGAGCCTGCCGCTGAGATCCTGCGGAAACACTCCGGGTGGTGGAAGTGATGCCAGGTCTCCTTGGCGGGGGCGGGGGTTGGACTTGGTGGTTGTGGACACACAGGACTGCCTTCAACTCCTCCTTGGTTTCTATGTGCCTAACATTTGTACAATAAAGAGCTAAAAAAAAAATACCACTCAGACTGCACTTTGAACTTGAAGAAAGGACTATTTTTGGAAACGATGTCTACGTGGGCAAAGAGAAGGCTTTCTGAGGAGCCATGGGTCAGGCGCCCTGGCAGGCACGCTAGGCTCGGTCTAAAGGCTGCAAGGGGATGTAGTGCTGACCCCACATACTAACCCCCCCAAACTGGGGAGGCGTCTGAGAAGGGGAGTGGGGAGCAGGTCATACCTTTGTGCCATAAAGCATCTTCCCATCAGGCAAAAGACAGAGGCAGCATGTGGCCCTGATGGCCTGAGGCCCAGCTCCTTCCTGGCTACCCCTGGCCCCAGGGTGGGGGCCCAAAATACACTTGGATAGAACCCCGATCCCTCTGAATGAATGAGACTGAGCTGAAGATGGGTCCTACCAGGTGACAGGCCAGAGGACAGGGGCACATTAGCCGGGGGCGGGGTGGGGTGGGGGTCTGGGTCTGTCAGGCCCAGGGCACGGGCAGGAGGCTGAGGGAAGACTCCAGCGCATCCCGAGGGAGCTCTGCAGCCAGAGGGCTGATGGGTACTGGATTCTCTAATTAAACATTGTTATGTAATTAGAATCTGCTCCCCAGCCCAGGAGAGCCCCGAGGTGGGAGTTATCACTGCTGTGCTGGAAGCCCAGGCACCAAAGGCAGGGAGGCTTGTTGGGAGGTGGCTGCTCCGGGTGGGGGGAGCCCTCCCAGGGCACCCTGAGCCCTGCTGACCTAAACTGAGGCTGGAGGTCAAGTGTGTACATGGCGGTCATGGGGGCGTCAGGAATCTCTGAGGGTGTTGTCAGGAAAAGCACCGACAGCTCCCAGGCACCACTCAGCCTGTCACAGGAGGGGGGCATCCCCTTTTCTGCACCTGTTTTCCCTCTGGAGAGAAGGTCCCGGCCAGAGCCCCAGCTCGCCTGGCTGCCAGGGCCTCCCCTCAGGTGCAGGGACCAGAGGGACAAGGAATGATAAGGCAGCCTGTCGCAGGGACCCATGGAGATGCCACGGTCCCAGAGCCTCTGTGGCACTGGGGATAACACTTGGGTTCAGAAATACAAGTAATCACTGTTTTTGTAGCAACAATGTTCAATTAAGATTTCTCCAATCTTAAGAAAAACAAGCCAATATCAGGAATATGCATGTACATAACTGTCATTTTAACCAATTTTATTTGAACATTTTTAGAAGAAAACGCAGTTTAGTCGAGTCTGACTTGAAATTAAGAAGGTTCTTTCTCCAGGCAGACCCGCTGTCTCAGGTCCAGAGCAGGGGACCAGCTGCCCTAGGAACATGACATCAGAGAAAGGCCCGGCCGGCCGGCGTCCTGCTATCTCCACCAGCAGTTGGCTCCCCCGATATCCTGGAACCAGGCACCCTGGAAAACTCTAGTCATCGGGTGAGAACCCATGAGGGCATGGAGGGGTGGGCCCCCACATATCAGCACAATGACCTCACCAGCTTTACTGCTGCACAAGGAACATTCCAGAAAGCAGTACAGCCACTGTTTGTACAGCAGCTGGCTTCAGGCAACATAGGACCTTGAGGGGTGCAGTTGCTGGGCCTGACACCCCGCTGTCTGATGCTGCACGGCCATCGTATGCCCTCTCTGTCCAGGACAATGCTCGAGAAAGCCAGTGCTTGGAGTACAAAGGGTGTCTGAATCCCTCTGAGGGCTGGCACATGAACTCAGGGACTGGGCAGGTGTCGGGAAGGTGGCCACAGGTGACCCTGATGCAGCCATCATCAGTCCAATCATCCAGCTGCCCTAGGCATATGACATCTGAGGGTGGGACCCACACATAGGCCAAGGCTTGGAGGCAATTCCAGCAACCTGGGACCAGGTGCCTAGTGCAGAGGACCCCAGGGTCCACCCTTCCAAGCTGCACATCCTTCACTGTCCCTGAAGGATGTGGGTGGTCAGCTAGTCCCCACACAGCCCAAACCCCACACCCATCCCTGAAGGTCTGAGAAAGGCACCCACCCCTCCCACATCTTCAGATCAAGGGTGTAAGTCAATGTTTCTGTAGCCCAACCTTCTTACCCGGGACCTGAAACAACAGTAACTGTCTCGTTCATGGGACAGCCGAGCACCAAAGGAAGCATTGTCCCACTGCCTGGGTTCATAAGGCATTTATTCACCCTCTGGGGTTGGGGGTGAGTGGTCTGCCCCACCAGTCCTAACAAGTGAGCAAGGGCCGAAGCGGCAGCCCTCCAGGCTCAGGGTGACGATGTGAGGAGTTGGTCCTCCCTGCCACCTCACGTGCATCCTCGGAGCTCACGGCACCCCTGGGGCCAGGTCAGAGCAGGCCACCACCATCCAGCTGCATCTGCCGGGCCAGCTGTTGCCCGATGGCCAGCAGGGGGCTGGCTCTGTAGGCTGGATTGGCCAGCAGGTCTCGGAAGCGAGTCCTTTCTTCCTCGCTGAAAAATTGAAATCGGAGGTCAGCACACCCCAAGCCCCTGGGGCAGTGGGATGAGCATTCAGCACCCAGGACCTGCCTCAGGTGGACCACCCCACACCCAGATGCCTCGGGGCAGGCTGAACCCTGGAGTGGACAGCAGAGGCCGAGAGTCGCCACAGGGAGGGACAGCGGCAAAGGGCTGGACAAGGGACAGGGATGAGGAAGGGAATCTGAGCTGCTCAAGTGGGACAGGCACGGCCTACGGGTCAGCCCAAGGGGGCCCGAGGGCTGAGCAGGGCTATGGGCGGCAGGGAAGAGGATGACTTGGGCCTCCTCATGGTCACACAGTGACCCTAGAGTCACTGTGCCCACCCATGAGGTTGAGGGGTGCTGGCATCCCTGCCCCTTCCTCAGAGAAGGGGTTCTAGGCTCCTGTCCTCAACCCTGACAAGGAGCTGCTATTAAAGGCCAGAGGCGGCAGCCCGCAGGCACCCTGCACACACAGCCTGACATCAGGGCCTCTCCCTCCGGCGCTGCCCAATCACACATGGCCACGGCAGGAACGAAGGGCCAGGAGTTCTGTGTCCCCACAGGCCCCAGGCCAGCTCTGCGCACAAAGGGGCACCATGGTGACAGGAGACACCTGGTGCCCTCCCAACAGAAAAGTTAGGTGGATCCTTTCCTCCTACAGGAGGCCCTGATCCCAGAGTCCTTAGTGGAGGCTGCTGTTCCCCGCATGCCTGTCTCGAAACCCAGCCAGCCCCGCTGGTGCAGGCGCGGACATGCTGCCTTCTGGAAGTGCTGGGGCAGCTCGAGTTCTGCAGGCCCTGCAGCCCAGCCATGGCTGCTGGTGCCCTGGCTGGGTGCTCCTGGGGGAAACTGAGGTGACCCGGTCAGAAACCTCAGGTGGCAGCTCCAGGACAAGTCCATTTGGACCTGCTGTGGTGGGGAGGGCGCCGTGGCGGAACGACCTGCCTCATGTGTGTGACCGTGGGCAGAGCCACACCATGCCAGGCCCCAGCTTCCCTGGTTGTTAACGAGAAAACCTGAACCCCACTGGACAAGGAACTACCTGAGCCAGATGACACCTAGCACAGCACCACCCCACCCACCAAGGACCCGGGCCCGAGGGCAGCCCCTGAGAAACAGGCTACTTCACTGAGCCAGCCGGGCTGTGCCCCAAAGCTGGCCCTGGCTGAGATGCCCACAAAGCCCGAGGGGACTGCGGTTGGGGGACCTGGCCAGACACCAGACAGCCCTGACAAGGGAGGGTGGGAGCACCAGAGCCTCGTCTTGGCGGCGGGCCATACTCACAGGAGCTGGAGCCGCTGCGTGGCGCTCATCCGGCTCAGCTCGGCCGGCCGGGGCTTGCTGCTTGTCCTGCTGTGGACAGAGAGGCCAAGTCAGTGCCACACACTGTGTACCTGGAACGTCTGCCAGGGGCACATTTCTGAGGTCGCAGCCCACAGTAGGCTTTGGGGGGTGCCAGGACCAGCACTCCGCTCCCTAAGTGAGACTGGGAGCAGGAGTGGCCTCATGGAGGGAAGAATCCAGCGGAGGTGGCAGGGGGAGAAAAACTGCCCATCCCGGCCAGGAGGCCTCTTCTTTAACTGTTACTTCTTTTCAAGTAGGGACGAAAAATATTTCTGGTCCACCCTGAACAATGCCTGCATCCTCACGCTCCTGTTGCCCCAGCCTGACTTGGTCCCAACTGTGTCAGCTCCAGGACACTGCTCTGCTCTCCCAGCCACTGACCCTGCCCCTGTGTCCACCTGAGCGTGGGTCCCTTGCTGACCACCCACAGCTCTCCTGGGCTTGCACGTGCAGAACTGGGGTTCGAGCTCCCTTCCCCCAGCCAAAGCCCCCAAAAGGTGGTCATGCTCTAGGAGGTTCAGAAAGCGGGGTCCAGCACAGCCCTACCAGCCGAGGCCTCAGGCCTTGGATCCCCACCCCCACTTACTAAAAGATAGAATGGCAGGTGGGCGGAGGCCTCCCACAGACCCTTCCGGCCCAAGGGGGTACAGACGAATCCAGGAAGCTCTTCAGGCCTAGAGTGGCTTGAGCCTTCAGTGAAAGTGGGAAGCAAAAGGGGTCAGGACCCTCACCCAACCTGAGGGCCCATCCAGGGCCTGGTAGGCAGCTCCAAGACAGGCATGACGTCCTCCCCAGTGGGGTCCCCATGAGGTAAGGACACAGTGGACAAAGCCGGGCCAGGTAAATCTCAACTCAGCAGCATGGGGAAGGGCTTTCACACGCCAGTGCCAGTCCCAGTCCTGCCCCCGCTGTCCTGACTGGTCTGGGCTTCGGCCAGCTTGGACGTTTCTCCAGTGGAGAGCCTCTGACTGGGCGGACTCACTCACAGCCTAGCCAACGAAGCCTCGAGCTCTCCAGGTAGCTGCAGATGGACACTCACCCTCGGGTATGTGGCTGCCTGGTGCCAGCCTCCAGCTCCAGTAACTCAGGGAGGGCGTCCCGAAGGGGCTGCAGATCCCCCACCACCACCGTGGCCCGCCGCCGCTTCTCCGCCTTGTGCTTCTGCTCAGCCAGCTTTATGGCTTCAATTTCTGTGGAAGGGCAACAAGATGGTTAATGAGGGAGCAGAGGACGGAGGAGCCCAGCCATCGGAGCCCAAGCCTGGGCCTGGGCCTGCTCCCTTCCTGCTGCATGACAGGCCACTCACTTGTTTCTGTTTGGCTGGCACCTCCAAGCCACCCTAGGAACTGGGGGTGGGCTGGCTTCGAGTTATTTTCTCCCGAGAGGTGCGCTTTTAAATTACAGGGTTGATGATGAGGCACTGAGGACTTTTTCTCCTAAAAAGGGACTCAGGTACAGGGGCTGGGCTCTCAGTGGGCGGGGGGAGCCACACAGTCACAGAGAGGTTGGTGGGAGCATCACACACCTCCCCCCCGCCCCCCGCTCGGGGGGGGGGGGGATGCACAGGAAAGGAGAGTCCCATCAGAAAGAGGTAACTGTTCTCAGAGGGGGGCCGGATTCCTAACGCTGAAACGGGTGCGGGGACAAGCGCTGCGGGGGCGGGGGCTCAGAAGGCTTCCGCACAGTCCCTGGGAAGGAGGCACTGGGACAGAAGAGGGAGGTGGTGAAGCAGAGCAGGATGCAGAAGAGCCAGAGGGTGAGGCTGTGGTCGGTGCAGGGCCTGAATGAAGCACCGCATTGCAACTGATTTCCATTTAAATACATATTTATTTCACCCTGGCTGGTTTGGCGCAACAGCTACGAGCACTGAACAGTGGACCAAAGAGTTGCGGGTTTGATTCCGGTCAAGGGCATACACCTCGTTGCGGTTCAATTCCCAGCCTTGGTCAGGTCATGCAGGAGACAACCAGTCGATGTGTCTCTCTCACACTGCTGTTTCTCTCTCTCTCTCGCTCTCTCCCTCCTTCCCACTCTATCTGAAGATAAATGAAAAAATATCCTCAGGTGAGGATTAAAAATTGCTAATAAAATACACACTCCGACATGATTTCCAGTGTGGCCTGTGGAAAAGGCTGAACTGCTGATGGGCATGCAGACCTTGGACAAAGGCCCTTCCGTCCCCAGGGATACAGGGGCCAGGCCACCAGAGGGGCCCCCACAGGCAGCCTTAGATGAACCAGTGGATGGCCAGAGGCTATGCTAATTAAACCTATGCTAACTGATCTATTAATCTGCTCTGCACTAGATTTCTCTCATACATAAAAAAAGGCTCTGCTACTAAAAATGCTTGGAAATGAGGGCAGTGATAGGCTTGGGGTGAGATCTGAGCTTGACACCCATCCCACTGTGGTTTGTTGGGCTATAATGGGGTGTAGACTCTGAATCAATCTAAACAGGGAACTAAAAGCCCCATTCCCAACAAAGTGCAGGGACAATTCACAGCCAGCTCCTCACAAAGCACAAGATGCCACCAGAGAAGAGGCAGCCAGTGGCCCATTGGCTAGGTACCAGACCGTTCCCTCTGTGCATTCTTGTTGTGACTCTACGGCCAGGACCTTCAGAGCACTGTGGCTGCCATCAGCCCCACAGGATGGACGCAGGAGGCAATGACGGGCACAACAGTGATTGTCACCAGGTGCAGAGTAGGCTGGGAGAAACCGGGGACCTGGGTGGAAACCCCAAGCCTAAGGATAGACTCAGGACAGCCTGCCACTGATTAATGCAGAGAAAGTGTGCGCGGCACGGGGCCCAGCAAGTGTGTGAAAGGTGACTGGTAAGTGAGGACCCTGGCAGGCTTTTAAGAGGCGAATTTCCAGAAACTGATACTATTCATCTTCTACCAGGCAGAAGTGCCTGGCAGGCTTCCCAAAGGCCAGCTCCTCTCCCAGCTCCCAGCCAAAGCACACTGACTACCCTGAAGCCTCCCAGATGACCAAGAGCAAGCTCTGGAAGGCCCCGAAGTCTGGGAAACATGCCTGGCCCCAACCACGGTCACTGTCTAAGAGCATCCCAAAGGGCCTTGTGTAGAGAGGGTTGTTCTCCTGGCCCCAAATAGCTGAGACCAGGGCACAGACCACCCATCATCCTGGGCCCTGTGCAGCAATCCCACACCATCCCTCGGAGTCCCGCAGTTATGAGGGTTCATACGGTGACAATTCAGGCGTTCCATCTTTCTAGAACGATGGTGAACTGTCTGCTCAGCACCTTACCACACCAGATGCCTCTTCCCAGAGAGCCAAGCACCCTGGGGAGGGAGGCAGCTGGGGCGGCTGGGGTTGGGCCTTAGGGGGGCAGCCTTGGGCAGGAGAGGAGACCGGAAGGGCAGCGCCCTGAAGCTGTCACTTTTCACTGACTGGAGTGGCAGGCCCAGCGCCAACGCCGCATCAGGACCAAGCAGAGCAAAGCAGAGCCCAAGGCTCCAAGGAAGCCGGACACAAACGGTAAACCAACGAAAGCCAAAGCCTTTTAAATTAACACAGGGGTGGGAAACCTTTGTTCTTCCAAGGGCCATTTGGATATTTATAACATCATTTGTGGGTCATACAAAATTACCAACTTAAAAATTAGCCTGCTATATTTGGTCAGGCTCATTTGGTGAGGAGTTATTAACACGTGGTGTCCAATTAGGGAGTGTCTGAGGCATGCAAGAACGACTCACGTGGGGACATCTGCCAGGCAGCCCATTACAGTGGCCGCTTTAGAGGGGAAGCCATTAGTCACCAGAAGTGCCAAAAAGAATCCAACAGAACTCACTACCCACTCACGATAAAAATGACAATGAAACCACGAACAGAAGGAACGGCCTTAATCTGACACAGATGACCTACCTCCCAGAGAAACCTGTAGGAAATATCACATGAGTGGTGAAACACTAGCCACACTCAGTTATGAAGCAGAACAAGAAAAGGACAACCATGACCCCTGCCAGTGCTGGAGGCGGCACAGTCCCCAGAGAGGGATCATGGGTGGGCAGGCCTCCGCCGGAGGACACACACAGCTGCCATGACAGCTTACAGGGGCCAGCTCGGCCTCCCCACCAACCCACAAGTCTGACACGGCCTCAGTCAAACTCCAACAAGTAATTCTTAACCAAACCTGTGACGCTCGTTCTAAATCTTACTTTTTAAAAAGACTCAATGGCCCTGGCCGGTTTGGCTCAGGGGTAAGAGCATCGGCCTGCGGTCCAGTGACCCGGGTTTGGTTCCCGCTAAGGGCACGTACGTACCTTGGTTGCGGTTTGTCCCCGGCCCTGATTGGGTCGTGTGGGTGGCAACCACTCGATGTGTCTCTCTTGCATCGATGTTTCCCTCTCTCTTCCTCCCTCTCTGTCTGACGATAAATGCAAAAATGTCCTCAGGTAAGGATTAAAAAAATAAATAAACAGTCCAGCCGGTGTGGCCCGGTGGTTGAGCGTCCACCCATGCACCAAAAGGTCACCAGTTCGATTCCTGGTCAGGACACATGCTCGGGTTGTGGGCCAGATCCTCACTGGGGATCATGCAGAAAGTGGCCAATCGATGTTCTCTCTCATCGATGTTTCTATCTCTCTCTCTCTCTCCCTCTCCCTTCCTCTCTCTCTAAAATCAACAAAGGGAAAATAAATAAATAGACTAAATGCATAAGAATAGCAAAAAAACAGATTTGGAAAAAAACAAGCAATAAAGAGTTGACCTACTGGATATTAAAGCAAATTATGAAAGGACAGAAATTCAAACAGACCCATGTGCAAAAGAGCCTCGCAGGGAGGCAAAGACGCAAAACAGTGCTTCAAACTGACCACTGACCGGCTATCCTCCTGGGGGAGAAGCTAACCCCTCCCTCCTGCTATTCCTAGAAATTAATTATAACAGAATTAATCATGACAAATCAAAAAGAAATCAAAGGTCAAAAAATACAGGAAGAGCTGCTCAACTCCACTTGAAATCAGGGAAAATGACAATGGTGAAAGTCGTTTGTCACCTGTCAGAGCAGCAGATCTGACAGCCCAACAGTACCAAGAACGAGAGGTCGGGGGCGCGGGGGCGGGAGCTGGGACGCGGCAGAGGCTGGGCCCCAACGGGCAGGTAAGGAGAGCCCGAGTGCCCGAGGCTGGGCTGTCGGACAGGTCCCGCCTCCGGCTCTGGGTGCTGGGCAGCGTGTGAACAGGAGGAAGGGGCTGGAGGCAGAGCGCGGGCGGGCCCGCCAGCAGGGCTGGTGGGACACAGGCCCTGGGCAGGAGCTGCATGGGGCAAGAGGGCAGCTCCACCGGCACCGACGGGCACGGCTTCCACACATACTGAGTGCAAAGGCACAGCAGAGGAAAAGCCTCTCTCTGACACACACACACCACGCATTTCCAAAGCCTCGCACCCAGCTCGAGTGCACAAGTGAAGAGAAAGGTCTACAGTTTAATCTCACACAACCAACCAGTGCTCACTCCTGAGAAGAAAACCAGATGCAAGTTTGGTAGCTTTGTCTGTTTTCCTTGAATAGTTTCATAACTTATTACATTACTCTGTCCTTAGATGTGGATGTCATTCCATCCCAGACTGGAAGATGGCAAAGAACAGTGAATTTAAGGGGTGTCAGTTCCATGCCAATGGGCTCCTCTCCCTCCTCTGCCCTGTGCCCCACTGAGCCTGCCCTCCCCTTCTAGACAGAGATGATAGTGGGAGGAGGAAGGAGGGAGAGCTTGGGCACTTACTGCCCCTGCCACCCCACCACCCACCTTCCTGGCTGTGGCCCTTGCCAAGCCCTCTTCTGGGGAGGGGGGACTCTTCCCTTTGCCCCTGCAGGCTGGGCTGGTACTGGTTTCTCAAGACCCTGGGGCCTCATCACTCTCACTGGCTCCCTCCACACCTCTGTATCTAATCCACGCACAGCCCCTTCATTAACTTCTCTCCGGGAAACCCTTTGGAGGGTGCCAGACTGAACTGACCATGTGCTGATGTTTGTCCCACCAGGGCAGGATTTCAAACCCTTTGGAGGGTGCCAGACTGAACTGACCATATGCTGATGTTTGTCCCACCAGGGCAGGAGAGCAAAGAAGGACAAGAAAAAGTCCCTTCTATCAACTTTGTCGTCTAAAGCAGCAGGCTCTGAAACACTGACAGTTGGGGAGCATCTCCAGGGGCTTGGCTACTCTGATCCC